GCGGCGGCGGCCTGGGCCGGGCCCGCCCGAACTTGGGAGCGGAGGAGGACGCCGGGAGGGCGGGCCGCTCTCCTCCGCCGCCTTTCTCCCTTCCTCCCTTCCCTCCTGCCTCTCGCCCTCCTCCGCCTCCTCTTCTTCCGCTCCTCCGGCTCTGCCTCCTGCTCCCTCGGCTTCCTCCTCCCATCCCAGCCAGCTCATCCTTCCCCGCCCGGCTCCTGGTCCCCCCTCGCCCCGGTGGGACGTCCGACTCGCTGCACCGGGCTCCAGGCAGCGCCCGCCGCCGCCGTCTCTGGGTCCATCCCGCTCGGACGCCCGCCCTTCCTCACCTTCCGAGACGCGGCGTTGAGGCTTTATGTCCCTCCAGCCGTAGGTGCCCCCCAAACGCCCCGGCCCGCGCCCTCCACGCTGCTTATATAGGGCAGGAGGAAGGGCTTGATTGCAAATCTTCGCCCACTGACCCTGCCACCTGCCCCTAACTGTTGAGCTGGGTTTCACCTGCATCTTGCATAGACCTCTAATGTGCACGCGGGACGGTTAAAGGACTTGCCCTGGTTGCTTATCCCTATTTATCCCGTTGCTCGTTGGGTACTCCAGTTGCAAGGTTGATTATCAGCCTTTCTTGATTCTACAAGTCCGGAACCTTAATTTAGAAAGCGTTTTGCATCCTAAGCTAATTACTGCAATGCTGGCAGGTGCAGAGTGCAGCCAGAACACTTGTAAATTACCAAGTGAAACTGTGGTGAAAGGAGAGCTGGCAGGGATCTGCAAAGGACACGTGGGGATGGACCAGCTAATCACTTGCTGAATGTTTATTAGTTCTGCCTGGAGGGTGCTTAACATACATAAGGGAAACAACCATCCCCCAGCGTCTCACTGTTGTTCTTCTACGTTGCCAGATTCACGAGGGTCACAAAACAACGACACGAGCTGAGGAACATCAAGAAAGAGAGCAGGTTGTTTAATTCTTTAAGAAGTTTAAAATAAAAAGGAAAAAAAGTAAAGATATATGCCAATTTTAGAGTCCATCACAGGGATCACCTAGAGGTACCGTCTTTTTTTAACGTTTATTTATTATTTTTGGGACAGAGAGAGACAGAGCATGAACGGGGGAGGGGCAGAGAGAGAGGGAGACACAGAATCGGAAACAGGCTCCAGGCTCCGAGCCATCAGCCCACAGCCCGACGCGGGGCTCGAACTCACGGACCGCGAGATCGTGACCTGGCTGAAGTCGGACGCTTAACCGACTGCGCCACCCAGGCGCCCCAGCGGTACCGTCTTTTAAGACTGGCTCATGGAATGCCTGATTCTAGAAGTGTCTTTCGTATTTTAGCAAGTGTAAGCTATAGACTGGCCATTGGTGGAGCGTGCGCTTTGCTGGCCCGTTTACAATGTTGTTACTGCTAAGAGACTGCACCTGTTTGATACTCTGATCAGAAAGTTCACCCATCATGGCAGCGCCTCCAAGCCGAGGAGGCAAAAAAGGAAGAGGCAAGGGAAGGAATGAAAAGCAGAGCATGTTAGGAACATGGATCAACTTCTCCGCAAAACATGGTAAGCATTCCAAGCCATGGTTGTTTGTTGTTTAAGAATCGTAAATCCGAGAGCACACAGAATGAAACACACAATTCTTTCCTCCTCACCATCTTAAGTGTGGTCCTCACACATTTTATAAAGACAGGATTCTTTCGGTTTCCCTAAAGCTTTGATGTAATGATGGGAGAAAAAGCTGGCAGAGTTGGAGGGTGAGATTGCAGAGACTGGAATCCCAGAGGAAAGTAATGCGGAAGATGAGCTAACAACCAAAGGAGCCATGGCAGCAGCTTGGTCATCTCCTATGTGGTAGAATGGAGCGACTGATCTCCCCAATGGGTGGACCAGATGGAGACACTATATCTTTTCTTTCAGGTTGTGACTTGGCTTTCCTGCCTCAGTTGTTACTGTTGTTTCTTGTGGGTGAAGAGAGAACTAACTAGAAGCCAGTTGGTGGATAAACTGGGCTGAGCCTCAGTGGTCGGTTGCCTACAGCATAGCCCAATTGTGGGGGCTGTGGGTGGAGATGTACCAGGAACAGATTTACCAAGCAGTGTAACGCTGCCCCTGGCAAGGACGGATGGAAATGTGGGCTGCGGTTCACCCCTGCACCCAACCGGAGAATTCTCCTTCATAGCACTGAAATGGAGGGCATTACAGAAAGGGGGAGAGGGAGCGGTAAGTCAGTCCTGGGCATTGGTAATGATTTTAGAGTCAGCTGCTTCGTGGAGAAGGTGCAGGAAAGAACAGGGAATGGTAGACTGAATATGGTTTGTCAGAACCCTTCTCTGTGAGCCCTGCCTTTGACCAGTAAGTTCCAGACTTTGTACAGGTCTTGCTCAGACCAGCGGGACCCAGAGGCTGGGGGCTGGGATCAAAGTGAGGCCACTGCAGTGATGACTCTAAAACCAGACTGGTTCACTTGAAACCAATAATCTTTAGGCTACCACCTAAAACTTGTTGCTCTGTGCAGAATCACTATTCTGTTTTCAAATGGACCAGGCCGTTTTCAAATGGAGCAATAGGAATTGTTTACGTGTATAAAAAGCTTGATTCTGCGATTTATGGTAACCAAGATAATTAAAAGGCTCGTGTTTTACTCTATGCACTTAATCCAAGGTTTCGGAGAGCTGAGAAAACGGGGGGGATGTATAATTACTTAGGCAGTGTTTAGAGTTGGGGTGAATGGCAGGTCTCATGAAATGGTGAGAGACAAAGTCTAGCTGGGAAGTGACTGCCGCTCGGTAAGTTAGGAAGGAGGATAGTATTTCCTAGGGGTGGGTGGGTCAGAAGCCCCAGAGTTAATACCAGGACGACCAGGTACGGTTGTCCAAGGGGTTGGAGGAAGACTTAACCTTTCACTGTGTCCTCTCCTGTACCTTAGAATCTTTGTTTCTAGTTTAAGAAAAATGGTAACTTTTAAAAAGCCTGGAAACAAAACACCAAAGATTTCTAATTAGCTATATCGTATTAAAAGAATTAATTTGCTGGGGCGCCTGGGTGGCGCAGTCGGTTAAGCATCCAACTTCAGCCAGGTCATGATCTCGCGGTCCGTGAGTTCGAGCCCCGCGTCGGGCTCTGGGCTGATGGCTCGGAGCCTGGAGCCTGTTTCCGATTCTGTGTCTCCCTCTCTCTCTGCCCCTCCCCCGTTCATGCTCTGTCTCTCTCTGTCCCAAAAATAAATAAATGTTGAAAAAAAAATTAAAAAAAAAAAAAAAACAAAGTAAGATTCCAGTTTTTAAAATGTCTGTACACTTACCCACCCTTGCATCTATATGAATACAAATGTGTTTGTGAATGCACATGTGTGTGTAAAGGCACATACAGCAAAATGTTCGTCTAAATGACTATCTCTGGTGGTGGGAACATAGATACTTTTCTGTACTGGAAGAGAAGACGTTGGCCTAGGACTCACCTTTTGAAAGGGCATCAGAAGCCATAATTTTTTTCATGTTTTCCTCTAATCAAAAAGGAGGGATTTATTATTTTATTTTTTTAAGTTTATTTATTTATTTTTGAGAGTGACAGAGAGAGGCAGAGAAGGAAAAGGAGAGAGAGAATCCCAAGCAGGCTGTGTACTGTCAGCACAGAGCCCAATGTGGGGCTCCGTCCCAGGAACCATGAGATCATAACCTGTGCCAAGATTAAGAGTCAGAGGCTTAACTGACTGAGCCACCCAGGTGCTCCCATTTATTATTTTAAACACAGAAAGTTTTGTTGCCAGAATTTTGTTATTGTTGCATGAAGTAGAAACTGCCAATTTGAATGTAAAGTATCTGAGAAATCTGTTTTAAGCCATGGACCCTCACCTCTTCCTTAGCCCTCGACTACAACTGGGAGTTGAATTCCTGAGTGGATTGCCCAAGAAGGCTTCTTGGTGTCCAGTATTTCAGCTTCCTCCTGAAAGTGTTTTTTCTCCACTTTTTTCCAGTTTTCCATAGTAGCCATGGCACAAACCAGATATGGGCACTTATTAGTTTGTGTAACTTGAGTAAATTGACTTCTCCTTCTAAAAATGGAGATATTCTTAACCATCCTAGGACTTTCTTAAGATTTTAACCAGTTGAGGGGCGCCTGGGGTGGTCGGTTTAGCGTCAGATT